GGGTAAAACTTGCATCTTGTCCTCAAGATGAAAAGAAGGAAATTGCATCTTCAACACTTCACAATCTTCCCAGGAGGCTTCAAACACAGGTAAATCCTTCCATTTGATTAATGCCTTTTGTCTTCCATCTTGTGTTGTCCGTACTTGTAGGACATCTTCCGGTTCTACTATCATTTCCATATCGTCATTCAATTGATTCGGCAATATGGTTGACAAGGCGCACTGTCCGATTGCTCTCCTCAACTGAGAGACATGAAACACTGGACGGAGTCGTGTAGATGCTGGCAATTCCGAGGGATAAGCCACCCTTCCCACCTTGCCTACAACTTTAAATGGTCCTTAAACACGCATAGACGGGTTTTGGTTGTTGCTTTTCCTTAAAGATTTCTGTCGGTAAGGCCTAAGCTTCAAGAAAACCGTATCTCCAATGTCAAAATTTACCTCCTTCCTATGCCCATCAGCTTGTTGTTTCATTTTGTGTTGTGCTTGCATTAAGAACATCCGTAGCAAATCAATCGCATCATCTTTGTCTTTTAACATTTGCTCCAATAAAAACTTCAAGCTTTGTTGGTCTGTCCTTACAACGAACTTCCTTCCGATCAAGTACGGTCGCCACTTTGTTACAGCAAATACAATGGTGATAGATATAGAATTGATGAAGATGAAAATAGGCTGAATCTTATTAGAAATAAAGGATAGTGGCCCGATCCGAGAGGGGCACGGTCTCCGATTACAAGAACAAGGAAATTGAAAGGTAATTCTCAATGCCTATCATCAAAAACTAGCCACTAATTTATACTAATCAAATACTAGAATTATGGGTAGAGATTAAGGCAAGGATTCTACACCCAATCATCCAGTGATTTGATCATTAATTAAATTGATTGCCTAAAATCATCCATCATTAATTAAATTGATTGCCTAAAATCATCCAGTGATTTGACCGAGAGGATTCAGCCGGTTTCCAAAGATAGAATACAGTTGTCCCATTTTTGCAGTTGTGACTCGATCTTTCTTTCTTGAGTACACTTTCAATGGTGGATCTTTATCATTACTTCCCTTCCGGTAAAACGTCTTGTCCTCAAGATGGAATGTAGGAAATTGCTCAGCCATTAGATCATAGGTTTCCCATGTTGCCTCTTCTTCAGGCCGATTACACCATGAAATCAACAATTCGAGGACCAGTTGGCCAGCTTCATAGACCCATCGATGAGTGATGACCGAGTTAGGTTGTACATCAATTTCCCAGTCTTTAGTGATGGGTAATGGGATATCTGGTACCGAAGAAAAAGAGCCATGGGCAAGTTTAAGCATCGAAATGTGAAATACCGGGTGGATTCTAGCTTCGGGTGGTAACTCCAGCTCATAAGCAATTGGACCCACTGCTCTTTTAACACGATATGGTCCAAAAAACCTTGGAGACAGCTTCTCATAACGACGTTTAGCCAAAGTCTTTTGGCGATACGGTTGAATCTTCAAGAAGACATAATCACCGACCTGAAACGTGAGTTCCCGTCGCTTCTGATTTGCTTGGTTTCTCATTCTGTCTTGGGCCTTTTGGAGGATTTGGCGAAGAAGCTTTATCATATCATCCCGATCAACTAACTGTTGTTTCAGCTCTGCGTTTTTTGTTTCGCCCGCCGCATAGGGGAACAACGAAGGGGGTTCTCGACCATACACAACAGAGAATGGTGTTGTGCCAGTGGCCGTGTGGTACCCCGTGTTATATGAGTATTCGGCCCAAGGTAAGTACGTACTCCGTTTGGTTGGTTGTTCACTAGCAAAGCAACGTAAGTAAGGTTCTAGGCAGCGATTCAGAACTTCGGTTTGACCATCCGTTTGAGGGTGGTAACTTGTGCTCAGCTTTTGTTTTGTCTGACTTAATCGGAACAATTCTTGCCAAAAGTTGCTGAGGAAGACCACATCTCGATCAGACACAATGGATCGGGGAAAGCCATGCAACCTGACTATTTCCCTACAAAAAACCGTTGCTGCTTCTTTAGCCGTATAGGGATGGGATAAGCAAATGAAGTGAGCATATTTGCTTAAACGGTCCACTACAACTAAAATAGTATCAAAAYGACTAGATGGTGGTAATCCAACGATAAAGTCCATGGAAACATCTTCCCAAATCTGATTGGGAATGGGTAGGGGCTACAGTAATCCTGCAGGAGCCAACGTCTGATACTTTTGTTGCTGACAGATTATACATTGCTAGACAAACTCCCTGACATCCTGTTTCATCTTTGGCCAATAGTAACGAGAAGAGAGTCTGTTGTAGGTTTTTAAAAAACCTCCATGACCACCGATTGGAGTGTCATGTGCTTGTTGTAACAGCTTGAGTTTGATATTGTGTACCTCCGGAATCACCATCCGTCCATGATGAAACAAAAGCTGATCCACCAGCGAGAAATCAGGGACGGAGGAAGGACCTGTTTGCAACTTCTTGATCAGATCGCTGGTAAATGAATCAGTTTGCAACCCTGCCTTGATATCAGCTACCTCAATACAAAAGGGGATAATAAGGGTTAATAATTCTCCCGAGTGGGGTCGGCGAAACAGGGCATATGCCCCCATGTTCTCTTTCCCAACCTTATGAACAATTGAAAAATCATAAGGCATGAGTTTTAGCAAAAGCCTTTGCTGCTCTGTAGTGGTGATGCGTTGTTCTAATAAGAATTTAAGGGTATAGTGATCGGTGCGAATGAGAAAATGTCGGCCAAGCAAGTAATGGCTCCATTTTTGGACCGCGAGAACTAATGCCAACAGCTCCCTGTCGTAAGCCGATTTAAAGCGGTTAGATGGGGAGAATCCTTTACTGAAATAAGCCACGGGATGGTCCTCTTGTGATAGTATCGCCCCGATCCCATCTGATGATGCGTCACACTCTATAACAAAAGGGTTAGAGAAATCTGGTAACCTCAAAACAGGTGTAGTCAGCAGCGCCTGTTTCAGGTCATTAAAGGCCTTAAGGGCTGCCTCCGACCAAAGAAACTCGTCCTTCTTGGTCAATGCAGTAAGTGGTCGGGCTATAAGTCCATAATTTCGGACAAAACGCCTATAATAGCCTGTTAACCCAAGGAAACCTCTCACCTCTTTTACTGTTGATGGAATGGGCCACGACTTTACTGCTGAAATCTTTTCTTCCTCCACACTAACTCCTTCCGAGCTGATTACATGTCCCAGAAATACTTGTCCTTGCCCAAAACAACATTTCGATAATTTGGCAAAGAATCGGTTGTCATGCAATAATTTCAAGGTCTGTTCTAGGTGAGACTTGTGTTGCTCCATACTTGAGTTGTAGATTAAAATGTCATCAAAGAACACAAGTATAAAACGTCGTAAATAAAGACGAAATAAATCGTTCATAACATCCTGAAACGTGGAAGGAGCATTGGTTAAGCCGAAAGGCATAACCTTAAACTCGTAATGACCCGAATGGGTACGAAAAGCCGTCTTTTCAATATCCGGGCCTATCACTCGGATTTGATGATAACCCGATCGTAAATCGAGTTTTGAGAATACTATAGCTTCATACAAAACGGATAAAACGGATCCTAAAGAAAAACAAATAGAACAATTAAAATAAACATAAGATAGTTATATGTAAACTTGAGGACTTATGACTTATCCAAGACTTGTTTTATCTTTATCTTATTAATCTGCCCTCCTCTCTTTCCTTCTTGAATATGTCTTTATACTCTGAAGTCTATCAGTGCGTTGTACTGATAACTCTCTATGATGCTCTTTGATGTACTCAACATCCATCTTTTATTTAAGGGTTGATAGTTGGATATGCCAGAGGATCTGGCCAAGAGAGATTTGGCCTCAACGGTAACTACTTTGCTCTCAAGTTATCATGAGGTTGTTTTATCATTAGACCAGGAGCAAAGGATGTTCAAACCTGAAGACAGACGTCGGGTATTTACTCGAGCAAGAAAAAAGGCTTGACAAAGCCTTCCATTTGGGAAAGGATGGGGTGTTGGATGACTGTGTAGGCCTGATAGAAACCAAACATGACAGCTTAGCTCCTCCTATTTAACAACTGTAAGTGCATTTAAAATCCGTGCATTTCAAAATTCATGTTACAAGTAGACTATGATAATATAAAACATTTAAGATACATACATAAGCAAACATGCACATGTATATACAAGTGATGATCTAATGAGAATCCATTGATGATTTTTGTAACTGGGACTATAGGTGTGGACAGACTAAGATACCTATACGCCAGTGCATACTTTAATTTATCTTGTTTGTTCTTGGCCTCATCATATCTACCTTGGTATGTTGGCCACTAGCTAGATAACAAGCCAAAACTTGGTAGTTGGTCCTCAAGGCAAGCTCTGTTATCATCACCAAGTTTGCAAGAGAATGGTACAGCAACTTGTGCCATAATTTATATCAGGTTGCATGCATATCAGACCCTCAACCCCCTTTTTTCATGGAATCAACGTAAAGAGCCATTTGGAACAGACCAAATTCACTACCCAATTGCATCATCTTGATATAGCAAAAAAAGAAAACTAGCTGTGATAGATTTATAAAGGTCCTCATTAGCAGCAAAATGAGTATGACCATGTTCTGGTATTCTACTGGAGCAAATTAACATAGTTAAAAAGAAGGGTACAAACCCCGTATCTATATTCTCACGCAACCATTCAAATTTGCTTGGTCCTTCTTTTCCCCCGAAGTACACACCAACCCCGCTAACAGTATTTCCTTCTACAATGTCTCCGATTATTTGCAAGTTGTTAACTGATGGAGGAGCTGTCAATAAGAAAACAGTTTAGGACTCGAGTACCATTGAGGTTATTCTTCAGTGAGCAAATGAAAATGCATATAATGGAAAAGTTATATGAAGATGAACATTTGAGGCAGATCATAAGTATATGATTCTCTGAATTGTTTCATGATAATTATAACACAAACAATTGAAGTAGAGCATATAAGATGGAGAAACAAATAAAATGAGAGTATGAAAAATAAGATGGATGGGAATAAAATAAAATAAATCTAATGGACTCAGAAATTGACGTAAAATAAAAACAGGATCAAAGCCATAGCCCTCTTAAATGTAAAATGACTCAGATTTGCACTACGTAAATCCCACACAATTTCTCCTCTAAATCAAAATGTAACTGAAGAATTCATAGAAACACGGTATCTTTTTTCCAGGCAGAGAGTAAACAGAACCTATCAACTCTTGGAGATGATGTTTCTGGCAGCTAGTTTAGGGGCTTGTATTTGTATGGTTCTAGAGCCTGGGCATTAATAATACCATCTAATAACTTTAGGGTTATATAGTAGTTAATACTTGATGAAGCACCTTTCAATACATAAAGAAACATAAAACTACTACATGTCTACATCTAACAAGTATATAGACATTAAATCATAAAGAACCAACCAGGTTTTATGTAATCTGTGATTGCATATTGAGGTTCTCCTTTGGTTCCTTCTTCTGTTACAGGAGTGTACATATAAACCAGACATGAATCAATGTCATCTAGAGTCAATTGATATTCCTCATTTTCTGCACCAGCAATCACCACTGGACTACTATTCCATCTTCTCCTTAACCAACTGCTAAGTAAGAAGTGTTAAGGCTTCTGTTAAAAAAAGCAAGGAAACAACTGCACTGCCTGATACTGTAAGTCAAACTAACGTCTATGAAAAAGGCTCACCTAGAAATGCCTTTTGCTGGGGTTCCGCCACACCATGCAACCTCCGGGTAGCCTGTAATTATGTTTCCTTCCACAAGTTCTCCACGCACATCAAGCTTCAAAACTTTCGGGCATCCAGTTCCTATGCAAAAGGTTGAAACTAGATATTAACAGAATGGCACAATTTGGGAGATACATACCACCAGCCAGAGTATTCCATTAGAGAAAGTGGAGTAAGAATAAGAACCTGAACAAAAATGTACTTGTAGGTACAGGTATATCTTATCCTTGCAAGCTCAAATAGGAGAACAAATAAAGAAGAAATGCAACAACATATATGACTGAACTTGTGCATACAAAACTAAAGTGCACGGTTTATCGTGTATTCTCCATTTTTTGTTTTTTTTCAATTCTTTCCTATTTAACAAACAGAAGACTCCACAGAAGCACAACTTTATTTATCACAACCACTTTCAATGAATTTTGATAAAGTAACACAAAAACAAATAGAAAAGCAAATAGAAACTTTAAAGCTACAGAAATGCAAAACAAATGAGCTACATAAGTTAATGTGAGAACTGAGAAATCAGCCATGCCCATAAACCAAAGCACAAAAGTTTACTATTAGAGTGTGTTGCTAGCAATGAGACATGTTGTAATTTTGAAGGTTATTTTGGTATTTATAGCTTCAAAGGACCCAAGCTTGGATGGCGTTTTTGTAAACAATAAACAGGTGTTCTTAGATTTTTGTATAGAAAACCCGAAGATCTCAAACCTTCACTGGTACTGAAGCTCAAAAGTTCAGATGACAAAATTGTGGTTTAAACCTAGATTCAGGAGCACTCTTTGTAAGGCTGTATAAATTCATCCTTATTTTAATGTTAAGATGGTTAAAAAAACATAGAGCTAATCCCAATAATTCTCCCTTGCGTATTTTTTTATAATTAAACAGAATGGAACTCCATAACTACATCACTTACGGAAGTAAAAAATACTTCCATTATATTTTTCATACGTCAGGAATATGTACCTCGGAAAACTGGTGAAGATATAGCAAAAATAGGGGGATATCTAGAATCTCCCAGTACAGGAGTACACTCCACCTTCAAAATCTTTCCCACATCATCATGTTTTGGCCAGTACACCTTGACAATAAACAGTTCACAAGATGAAATGCAATTACACAGAAACATCTATCAATTAAAAGCAATAACTCAATACCAACAACCAGAAGCACACTCTTTACCTCTGCAATAGCATCTGGAATCATGGTGAAGTTTGAAAGTGTTGTGCCTCCAATGAACCACTGATAATTCAAAACTAATTCTGATTCATCATTTCTGATTTTATCTTTGGTAAAGAGAAAGTGGCAGCAACAGGCATCTTCTTCAAATGGTTGATCAACTGAGGCTTCCATGAGCATGTAACCAGGAGGGAAATGATCATTCCATTGCTCAACAAGAAAATGAAAAGTTGACTCTGTTCAATGAATAAACAGGTCACTGAGTTTTAGGCCAATTTCGTTTTTGATTACTCAAAATACACTGATCAAATAGTAGTCATATAAGAACAATATGAATGTTGATTAATTGGAAAACAAAAATGTCGTCTTCGAAAAATTCAACTGTTTGAGGCAATTTAGTTGCCATAAAATAATTTGATTTCCAAAGGGCAAAAGGAGCTTGAACATTTCATCAATGCAAACACTGCATTGATTGTCAGTCAGTTAACTCTGTTAAATTCTTAAAGGTTTATGCTTCCTATCATTGGAACTGGCTTATTAGTATAGGCTATAGGTTTAGTTAGTTAATTCATTGATATCCATAGTTATAATATTAAGCAACTCTGTCGGACCATAATTTGTTTCATTCAAAATTAAGGACATGGTAGACGTAGTTTCTAAACAGCACAGAAGAGAACCATTTCCTTTTATCCCACTCAATACTACATCTTTTCTTTCTCCTATTACCCCAGATGGTTTAATCTATTATACTAAATCCATCATGATTGAATAGAACACAAGCACTGTTTCTATAAAGGATGCTCCAAATAGTTTCTTCATCAAGTATTATACAAGCAACAAAAGAAACCCCATAAAGCTCACCTACAGCTTGTTCTGAGCGGCAAAACTCCCAACCTCCTGCAATGCAAACTGCTGTATGTGCAGGATAATGTTTTGCGAATGCAATCTCTTTAGGAGAAAGATCTAGCAGAATTTCCATTGAACATGCACGTTAGGGGGCAACTGATAGAAACTTCAAATACCAAAAAGAAAAGTATAAGACATGTGATGCCATATTAAGCTGAATTTGACAGCTAAAATGATACTCCTTTCGTCCTAGACATTTTGGCATGCAATCTTAGGAGCTTTACGGTCCATCTAATTAAGAAAATTGAAATAAACTTTGAGAAAAACGTTATTACAAATTTAGAGCAATGTTACTTAAGACACGAGGTGCAGAGGTCGTCTGGGACAAAGACACAAGCCAAACCAAGAACATCAATTAAGTAATTGCATGAGTGGCAAAAAAATCTCCCTCCCTCTGTGTATGTAAGCATATGCATGTTTGAATATATAAATATATACACATCCACAAATAATCAAGAAGTAAAAACTAAACAAGTAGTAAAATTAAGTTTTAACCTTCAGCAATGTTCAAATAATGGCACAAAGATTACATATTTCAAGTGAAATTTACATAATGCAAAATTGACTAAATGGTAAATACTAATTACAAATATGAAGCAATTGAACAAAGAGATATGTACATGATTGTATGTTACAATGATTTTAAGAATACAATCTATGCTAACAAATATAAAAATTGGAGTAATACTGACTAATACAGTAAATATGCTGCAGGTTGAATATATTACTTCTTTCAAATAATAAAATATAATATATATAAAAAACAACGGGTTGGAAATACAATTTTAACTACGATAAAAATTATGAGGTTGTGCACAATTTCAGTTAATAAGATTGGAATGAGAATCAGAATCAACAATAAAAAAACCCTAGACTTTCATTTAACATGATTTGAAATAGAAAAATCAGATGTCTGGCTGTGGATGCAATCTGACTACAAGCAAAGGAGCAGAGTAGGATGTGTGTTTTGACCTGGACATCTTACCCTAATGCCAAAATTAAAGAAGACTATAATTTGAGTCATTAATAATGACCCATAAGATTGACTTGCACCTTTCTTCAGTCAATATCCTGTCTCATGTGATTCACGCATTAAAGGCCATCTAGGCATAACCTTACAATGACTAGAAGTATGCAAATAAAAAAATCAAATAACTTCTAATTTGATGAATTAGAATCTCTATATAAGATGCATGCCAAGATATAAAAGTTACATGTTGAATGGAATGGAAGAAGTGTGATGTTTCAAAATGAAAAGGCACACTAGTTAAATATACTGATGATGATAAAAGGGTGCTAAAATTAAATGTGTAAAGAACAATTTAATCAGAAGCAATGCTCCATACCTCCACAATGAGTGTTGTGTTTCACAACGACAAGGAGAAGACAATATTGTCAAGCCTTTTATCTTTTCAGAATTATTCTTACTTTAAGGAGCAGAATGGTTTTCCAGATTAACCTAGCTGAAAGCATTCAGGTCTCATATCAAATAGATCATCACATACCTCTATCGTTGAACTTCTTCAGGGTTGGACCAACAAGCAAAACAGAAGCCGCTTCGATATGTGCCATCTCAAGTATAGGATTCTCCTCTAAGCGTAAATGCTGCAGGATATAGCAATAGTAGGTATATCAGTTAAGCCTTCAAGCATTTTTGTGTGAAGATGTTCTTAATTAGCTTAAAAACTAAAAAAAGATGGTCATTCTAACATGAAGTCAAAGAATTTACACCATGTGTCTCTTACATCCACATATTTCACAAAAAGTAAGCTTTTAAAAAAGGAAAGTTTACTCCATTTACCTAATTCTTAACAGGGTTGCTCAAGTGTTTATTGTTGAACCTTCTCTTTGCCTTCTTTTCATTTTGTGTATGTGTTTTTTGTTTTTCAGCCCGTCAATCTGAACATTCTACTTAAGCCTATGGTGTTGCACATGTCATCATACATGCAAGCAATTAAACCTTCAACAATATTATCACAAATAACCATGTATTTAATAAGTAGACTGTCACACCCCAAACCTTGGTGTGATGCATCGCAGTAGACTACGAAATTCTCCGAGCCTTCTGGCAATGCCAGAATTGGTGCATTACATAAACTATGCTTAAGTGTTTGGAATTCTTCTTCTTGTTTCTCTCCCCAAATAAACTTCTTATCCTTTTGGGTTAATGCCGTTAGTGGTTGCGCAATTTTTGAGAAATTCGCAATGAATCGCCAATAATAGCCTGCTAAACCGAGAAATTAACGGATTTCTGTCGGGGTCTTCGGGGTTTCCCACTTCTTGATGGCCTCAACTTTTGCCGAATCTACATGAATTCCCTTCTTATTAACCACGTGGCCAAGAAATTGTACCTCACGAATCCAGAATTCCCATTTGGAGAACTTCGCATACAACTTTTGGTCCCTGAGCAGTTCTAACATCAACTTTAGATGTCGTTCATGATCCTCCCTGCTTCGCGAATAAATTAGTATATCATCTATAAACACGATCACGAACTTATCCAAGTACGGTCTACAAACCCAGTTCATTAAGTCCATGAAGACAGTTGCCGCGTTTGTTAGCCCGAAAGGCATAACCAAGAACTCGTAATGGCCGTAACGAGTCCTAAACGTCGTCTTGGGAATATCCTCCTCACGGACCCTCATTTGATGATATCCATATCAAAGATCAATTTTCAAAAAGTAAGTAGCACCTTGGAGTTGGTCGAACAGGTCGTCGATTCGAGAAAGACGGTATCGGTTTTTTATGGTTAACTTATTGAGTTCTCTATAATGGATGCACATTCGTAAGGATCCATCTTTCTTTTTAACGAAAAGAACTGGGGCTCCCCATGGTGAAGAGCTAGGTCTTATAAATCCTTTGTCGAGCATCTCCTAGAGTTGTCTTGACAACTCCTGCATTTTCGATGGGGCCAACCGATACGGTGATTTAGCCAGAGGTGCAGCTCCAAAAATTAAGTCGATGTGGAATTCGACTTGTCTTGACAGGGCTAGTTGTGGTAGCTCATCCGGAAACACCTCGGGAAATTCCCAAACTACAGGAAATCCTCGACTAACAAGGACTTTAGTATAGACCTTATTTCAATTGAGTTAGGAAGCTTTGACTTAGTCGTGGGCATGGATTGGCTATCCAAAAATCGAGCTGAAATATGTTGTTCCGAAAAGATCATCCGAATTCCACTGCCAAAAGGTGAAACACTCGTCGTACATGGAGAGAAGTCCGGAAAGAATTTTAAGATGGTGACGTTGTAGATAAGAAAATTGAAGAGAAACACATTCAGGATTTTCCTATAGTTCAGGAATTTCCCGAGGTGTTTCCGGATGAGCTACCAGAACTAGCCCCGTCAAGACAAGTCGAATTCCACATCGACTTAATTCCTGGAGTTGCACCTCTGGCTAAATCACCGTATCGATTGGCCCCATCGAAAATGCAGGAGTTGTCAAGACAACTCCAGGAGATGCTCGACAAAGGATTTATAAGACCTAGCTCTTCACCATAGGAAGCCTCAGTTCTTTTCGTTAAAAAGAAAGATGGATCCTTACGAATGTGCATCGATTATAGAGAACTCAATAAGTTAACCATCAAAAACCGATACCGTCTTCCTCGAATCGACGACCTGTTCGACCAACTCCGAGGTGCTACTTACTTTTCGAAAATTGATATTCGATCTGGATATCATCAAATAAGGGTCGGTAAGGAAGATATTCTCAAGGTTTAGGACTCGTTACGGCCATTACAAGTTCCTGGTTATGCCTTTCGGGCTAACAAACGCGGCAACTGTCTTCATGGAATGAACATGGACTTAATGAACAGGGTTTGTAGACCGTACTTGGATAAGTTCGTGATCGTGTTCATAGATGATATACTAATTTATTCGCGAAGCAGGGAGGATCATGAACGGCATCTAAAGTTGATATTAGAACTGCTCAGGGACCGGAAATTGTATGCAAAGTTCTCCAAATGGGAATTCTGGATTTGTGAGGTACAATTTCTTGGCCACGTGGTTAATAAGAAGGGAATTCATGTAGATCCGGCAAAAGTTGAGGCCATCAAGAAGTGGGAAGCCCCGAACACCCCGACAGAAATTCGTCGATTTCTCGGTTTAGTATCGGCGATCCATTGCGAATTTCTCAAAAATTATGCAACCACTAACGGCATTAACCCAAAAGGATAAGAAGTTTATTTGGGGAGAGAAACAAGAAGAAGCATTCCAAACACTTAAGCATAGGTTATGCTCTGATACCAAATCTATCACACCCCGTTCTACGCCCACTGTCGGGATGACTCACCCTCAGTCCTCGGTGGGTCTGTGAAAGTCACCCTTCTGGGTAGAGGAACACTCTTCCTGGCAGTAACCCTAATCCTCGGTTTGGCTGCCTTGATGACTGTGACACTTAAACTTAAGTATAATGATTAAAATACCTAACCACCTCTAAAAATGGTGCTATTTATGTCAAAAGTTTCCTAAGACATTAAATTAAAATATATAAAAAGTTGGTTGATTAAATAATTCGAGAAAATACTTAATTATGACCATAAGTGAATTTAAATTTTCAGCCAACAAAAAAGTGAAAACTCTAATTCAAGAAAAATATAGATTTTTTGGGATTATTAAAGAATAAAATACACATAAGTTATAGATTTTGTTAAAGCAGCATATAAATCAACAAAATTTGCATGTAATCATCATCGCAAATTAATATTTAAACCTAGTAAGTATCACTTAAGGCATTTTATAAAATATGATGAGCTAAGCAATATTTTAGCCCTAAGAGTTGGACCCAAATCTGATAGTGTGTTTCACTTCCATAGGAAGGACCTAGAACCGGGCAATTGTGCAACCGTGCGACAACTCTTGAATCACCGCCCCATTTTACTATTTTGTTACAATTTGGGGAAAAGCATGATATTGAATTGCAACTGATTGATTTATGCCATGAAATGTTAAACCTTGAATTTAATTGTTTGTGCACTATGGTACGTATACTTTTTGATGTGCTTGAGTTTTAAATGAAAAGTCCCCATTAGTTAGACACAACCTATTAACTCATTACGAGCCGATGGTATTTGTGGGTAGCGCTATTTGGTTTGACAACCCTCTTTTAACTGACGAGTTAGAAGTGCACTTTACCAATAACAACAAGGGTCTTACACATGTGAAATTATTTCACCGCTGAGGTAGGACGTGAGAAATATAAGGGGCGTTGATTCGTCAGAAGGTTTGGTAGTGGCTCAATGTTATGGCATCATAGTATACGTTATACCTCGTGCAAGTACTCGAACAATCAATTACTAAAACTTCGTGTGAATAAACAATTCACAACCACGAATTTCTGCATAAAAATTTACTTTTAGTGCATACAAAAACCTGTGAACTCACCAACTCTTTGTAGTTGACCCCTTTTCTTTTTATCATGTTTTTCAGGTACTAATAAGTAAGTGAAGGCATGTAGGGTGCATATTGTGTGACGACATCAACATCAAGAGCTTAAAACTTCTTTTGTTAATTTTTTTTATATCTATCGTTATTTTGAAACAATTTAAGTTATGACTTTGTATTTATGTACCCTACTTTATGAAATGTTGTGGTTAGTGTTGTATATTGCCTCATGCTAAGAAACCCTACGCTGTCATGTCTCGTGTTTCCGCTTTAGCGGGGTGACATAAACTAATCATCCTCAATATAATATACAATTATATCAACCATGTACTTATCCTTGGACAAAATAAGGGATAAAATTTCGACCATTCTGTCAGGATCTCGTCTTCTCTAGCATATCCCAGCTTTAGTACCACACATACACTTGTGCTTCACACCAAGGAAATCTGATCCTTGTATTATTAGCATTCTGTGAGGACAACTCCCTAACATTTCTCAAATCCCAAAACAAGAGAGAGAACAGAAGTCCAGGAAAGGAAGCTTAGTTCATTGACTCCAAGATTATGATAGAAAATGTTGCAACATTATTAAGGTGGGTGCAAAATTTTGTAGGTTTACAATCCACGAACATCAAACATTGGATGCTCCAAAGCACGGATCAATATGACTATCAACACCCAGTCTTATATTTCTCAAGTAGAAGAGATCATCTATGATCTTAGGACGCAGTAAGGTATTGACAACTATGATATTCTTGTTAAGAATGACAACAAACAAGGCGTAAGTAGATAAAGCAATGACCTCAAATGAGGTCGGCCAAATGGACCTCAACGATTTTAATTAACATGGCAAAATATAAAAGTAAACTTGCCTCAAGTGATGGTAAACAAGGAAAACCCTTTAGTGTTGATACTTTATTCTTGCTGGCAGCTAATACCTGTAAAGAACCAAGAGGTCAAAGGATCGCATAGAGCAAAGCCACATACAAAAAATGAATCAGAGGATAAAAGAAACCTGTAGCCGTGGCTGACTTGCCATTGAAAGAGACTTTAACTTATTCTGTGCAACAGAGAGGAACTGGAAACAAGAAATAAATGTGTAGGCTACATGAAATGTTGACAAAGCAAAACTGTTGCTAGCTCTCACACATGGATTTAATAAGAGCATGAACCAAACGTTTTACCTCCAAATTTGGAAGTGCAGGAAGTGTCGTCAGTGATGTGATTTGATTCCCAGCAAGGTAGAGTTGCTACAAGAATCGAAAAGGAAAAATCTATTGCTGGTTAAAACAGTTCACTAGTCATGGCCATTTAAGAGATGATACAAAGTGAGGCAATAACCTGCAAGGCTTTGCAGGCTTCAAGTGGTTCGAATCCAGGCCCTTTAAAATCATTAAAGCTCAAATCAAGAACCTACAAATAGGCCACATTAGTCATTAACCAAGCCTGAGAGAATCCCTAGACAACAGCATTAGTTGGTTTCTCTATTGCTTTAGAAAGGTAGAGTCATAGTGACAATCTCAATGCACCAAAAACAATTGTTCCCAGCTTAGATGATATGGAAAAATAATAGTGTAAGAGAATATAACCATAAGGATATAATTTGCCTTAGAGCGGCGATTTTTAGAGTGGGCTCCAAAATCATCTCTCAACTATTGCTCATTCTGCATATGCCATCTTTTAAATAATTATATGACACTAGCACTCCCTCAAAGAAGAATTATTCTCCAAATTGTTCTTTCCTAGCTTTACCTCTAATAACTGGTTGCAATTGGTAAAAAGCAAATAATCAATTTCTGTAGTTTTTACTTCTTCTTTTAGAACTCAATCAATATTCAAAAAATAGAAATAAAGCATAACCATCCCTCCCCACTGAGTTCTTTACTGAAACTTCCACTCCCCACAACAAATCTTCTTCCGTACCCAGAACCCCAGCCTCAACCATTATTCATTTGACCGAGGCAAAGAGAGGGAAGTTCTAACTTTGAATTATGCTTCAATTCATTAAAAAAAATGGCCTAATATTGTTGGAATATGGGCTCTCTTCACACAAATTAACGAGCATATCACGAAGATATTTCACTGACTAGTCGGTTTTCATTTAATTTTTAAATTAATTAATTTTAATTGTGAAAAACAAACTTCTTGTTGTTTGAGAAATGATTTTGATTTCTTTCCAATAAAAACTAATGATTTTGTTCTTCCATCACTGTATGTTCTTTCAAGAAGAAAGAAATAAGTTCTTTCTTAAACCATTTCGAGAACATGAGTAGCAAAGATGATGAGATTTTAAACAAAGTCACATGATGCATATAACAGCAATGCAAGATCTACTTGTCAGATCTAGCTATGGTACGTTATGAAACACCTATATACACAGATATTTTTTACAAACTAACCACAAATTCCCCAATCAAGCAACCATATCAAGTGAGGCCCCCTCCCTAATATTACTTTAGTTTCATATGACAAAGCAAATATGTGTTTTGAATTCATTAGGTAAGTTAGAAAAAATTAGATATTGAGCTTGTGGATTGCAAGGTGATATGATGATTCCGATGGTCTTTATAAGCAGTGGTTGTGGGTGGTATGCAGTTATGGAGAGCAGAGGGGAAGACGAGAGAGAAAGGGCTGGGCAGGGTGGAATGGAATGAGATAGGACAGGTTTTGGCATTTTTTTTGTTCTTGATTTTTAAACCAAACATTAGGTTTAAAAGAAACTTAGAAATGATAGAGCACTTAAATTTTATGAGTTCTTGTTTTACCCTTTGATTAACGGTTTTCAGTGGGTGGTAACAACAGAAGAACTAAGTCGGGGAATGATTTTCGATCTAAGAATCAATAGCATGAAAGAGAATTGAAAGAATAAAACCTGCAGATTGAGGGGAAAAAAATCAAATAACATGTTTGTAGTTCTTGCAACAATAAAGAAGGGGTAGAAAATAGAAGGGAAGATTAAGAAACCTAATTAGGGTACTTGTGAAAAATCAAAGGACGTGTTTAGATGGTCTCCATTTAGCATTTCCTAAAGAAGTTGAAGGAGAGCCTTTTATGCATGAAGAAACAAAAGTAAACACGGCTTCATGTGCAACTTCTACTGACATTAGGTAACTTGGATTGGAGATTTTTCATCAAAATGAAGCTTCGAATACTTATGTCAAATATATAAAACTGAAAATCATATAGAGGAATTGATTAAGAGTTACTTAAAAAGTCAAACGTAATTGTCTGGTAGAAGAGGCAAAAGAAAATTATACAAACCTTCACCCGCTTCAGTATGTCAATGCCTTCTAATGAAGATAGCAGGTTGTCTCTGAGATAAACGAACTGCCACAAAAGAATCAGTCAAAGGCGGCTCTGATAAATGCAGAAAGCAGCGATTTATTTTTCAGTCTATGAGTAGAAAGAACAAGCTGGTATAGAAGATTATCCAAAATCTATATGAAGAAAAATATACCCATCAATCACCAACAGAATTTCAGAAAAAGACAAACAATTGGCAATCTGCCGCATAAGGCATACAAGAATGGCATTGCTTGCCATAACACCATATAAAAGGCCAAGATGTGTGATCATAATCATTAAAACAAGTTCAATCAAGCTACAAATTTGATGATCTTGGATTCTTGGGTCAATCGTACCCAATTCAGCTATAAGTTCAATGATCTTCATCCTTTGAGCTTAAACAAGCTATAACTTTGAAGATCTCTATCAATCACAGGGAAAGATATTACACCCATCCACTTCCTGTACCCTCTGTACTATTTATGCTTCGTAACGGCAGAATGCAGAACTCATCTGTCATGATATTCTCGCAATCAAGCTTCCGCGCAGAAGAGCAAACCATCAACAGTCACATACCCCATCACCTAATCAGTTGGCACCCACAAAAATTTTTAACTCTAAGAAGAGTTATGTGATCACCAATTCATGACCCTGATATTCCACAAGCACAGGCAACTTACAAGGAAAGATGAGAAGGAACCTTGAAGAGTTGAAGCATGAATTCTGCCTTCAATAAAGGATAATGCAAGTAAAATTCAATGACAAACTCCATCAGTGTTTAAATAAGGCAACAGTAAGTCCATTTACGTCCTTTTCTCAGTCCCATGTATATTAAGCACAAATCTGCAAATTCTTTCCCACTTCAAGTGCTTCAAATCGTCCAGAAACATAAAAAAGAGCAAGAAACATATGTCTATCATGACGTAGAAAGCAAGACGACCTCCTATAGAAGTCTCATATAGCAAAGAATGATACAGGTCAATTATGTTGTGACTCTCATTGCTCTATTCAACCTTGGATATGTAATTGATAGATGAACTCTCAAAGGACAAGTTCTTCAGCATGGTTTTTAATATTAAAGTCACAGAAAGTCTTCAATGTGTAATACACCAGAAGTATGAAAGATTATCATATTATTCTATGCACCAAATAGATATTAACTATGCAGCTGATGCATGCAAAAGAAAGCCAGCATATCATACTGTACAGGTCAGCTTACCTCCAAATTAGGAGACAAGTTCAGCCCACTAGCTTTCAAAGTACGAATCCTGTGACCCCTAAGATCCAACCTCTGATATTGTGAGTGAAAGAAAAGAATAAGGATTAGTAGGTGGAGCATGATAATAGAAATTTTAACAAAATATAGGCAGCAGGATTAGTAGGCTTAATAGGACTGGGCTAATAGTAAGTAACTTTTCATTTGGATTCAAAGATGTTTTTCGTCTCTATGGAACTGAAATGCTACACAAACTAATAGAAACAAAGAAGTAAATCAATCGTTGGTGGAGGGGACGATTAATAATCCAGACGAAGAATGAAGGAGGATTGGAGCAAAAGATAGAATGGACCAACAATTAGGCATTCTCAACTCCTTGTATTAGTATTGGTACAAGTGCGATACTTGAAATAGAATCATCAGAGTGATACAAAAAGAGGATTCTGTGATGTTAAGAAAATGAGCAGTCCCCAGGCATGCTCAGTATGATTTTTAGCTTTAAAAAATTGTGGACTCCACATTAAACAGGTTTACTTGTTTGTATGCCTTACACTTAGCAGTGACCAAAAACAGTGCTTACCACATCATCACCAGCTTTGATCTCAACTTGAGGAAGCATGATCAAACGAGAGACCCTGATTTCAGGAGTTGTTGCTTTTCTTTGGCTCGATGAAGTAGACATCTTTTCTCGGGAAGACGATAGAGATCCAGATTTTGATCCACTAGAAACTGCAGATGATTGAGCGGATGTAGAAGAAAGCTTTGAGATGGGCTTCCTTGCCGTGCTGCTCCCGGTGCTGTCTAGGGACGTTGAAGGAACTCTCGATGATGAAGAAAGTAATGAAGACGATTTAACATTAGAGCGTCCCTTGCTTGCTTCAGAATTACTGCCCATGGTTCTAGAAGTTCTAACAACAGGAGAAGTAGGAGCTGACTTCTTAGTCTCAGAGGAGCTTGCACGAACTGAAGCTTTGCTAGCTAGCGAAGGTAGTGAGCTCCTACGGACTTCAGGAAGAGACCGCCTCAATGGCTCTGTTGTTACTGAAGAACTAGTCTTCCTGCCAACAGCTGAACCAACGCTGCTGATAATTTTCTTAACTGGGACTTGCTGTTGCTTTTCCTGTAAAGTCCCAGTGCTATTCCTTCTAATAGCTGGAGCCTCGTTAGAAGTAGTATTTCCATGATCTATAGTCGATTTCCTCGGAGTCAATTTGGCCACATTAGAAACACTCTTGGGTTCTATCCTCTTTCGGGTGGTTCCAGTAGTAGAACCAGTGACCTTCAAAGACGACGAAACAGTTGGTTTAATAACAGTTTTTGTTGTTGTTTTGACACTCTCAGCTGAAGACTGTGCCTTTGTCTCGGAAGTTAGGACCTTGTCTAAGGATCCCTCTCCCCTTTCCATTTCACTCTTCAATTAACAAACTCTCCACCACCAATCAGCTAAAATCAATTGCCTGCCTGTCAGGAAAACACAAAATGAACAACAGGTGACAGATGATGATATGCTCCCTCCTTTCCATGAGAAAGGCTACACTTTTAAGTCCTTCACTTTGTGAATTTAGAAAGTTACTTTTCAAGTCTAAACCCGACCTTGATTATGAAACTTTGTAAAGAAATCTTGAACCATAAATGGCTGTAATTATCAACTTTATAGGCATCTGTCAAAAGTCACAATAACTAAACGCCATTCTCCTATAATTATCAAGAGTCAACTCTAAGCATGTCATAGCAGTGATGGACCACATGTTTGTACCTCTAAAAAATTAAGTGTTGAAGTTGTTTCATTTTAAGTTCAATCAAGAGAAAATAAACATTTAACTTGAGCATAAGATGAATAAACAGTCTGCTGTACTGATTCACAATTTTCCACACAGCTTAGCAAATAGAGTGCATCCGTTATACCACTTAGTTCAAAGGAAACCCCAAAGTTGTATTGCAGTTTTTATATAAGTTTCATTCTAATTACAAGATCCACAAGAAATAAGTTCTCAATGCAAAAAAAATGAAAAGATATAGAACACAGAAAAGCAAAGGCAAATGAGAAGTTGTACGTTACTAGGCTTGGTTCACTAAAATCAAACAGAAGCCAACTTATATGGGACAGTGGGAGTATAACTGTATAAGTTGCAAGTTAAACAAAATTTGCCGAACCTGGGAAGTTAAAAAAGAAAGTATTAGAAAATTGTTTACAAGAAGAAAAATAAATAAAACGATCTGAGATAAACTAAGCTAAGTCGTGAGCAAAATAGTCAAAGTAAAATGTGGGTTTGCACCTGCATACCTAATGGGACTATAGAAATACGAATTGCAAGTAAAACCGCAATTTATACACATAAAATCTGAACAAACTGTAACAATTATTACAGCAGGAAACACGAGCAATGATCAACGAGGAAAAGTAATGCTAATTCTTGAGCGAAAAAGGAAAAGAATAATGTACCTGCGTGCCTAAAAGGGAAAGTGGGAGCGTAAACTGAAAGTAGTCCATATACATAAAAAGTAAAAACTCATAACCTGTTATCGCTACAACGAACATAAACAACAATCCATGACAAAAATCATGCTAATTCTCGATCAAAAACAAAAAAGCATAATGTGGGTTTGATACCTGCGCACCTAAAGAGACAGTGAAAGCATAAATTGCAAGTAAAAACACGATTCATATACATAAAAAGGAAAAATTTCCAACACTTATGACTAACAATTAACATAAACAAACAATCTTTGACAAAAATGAAGCCTAAAAGAAGAGGAAAATAATAATGTGGGTGGATACCTGGATGTTAGAAGGGATCTGGTGGAGCAGAAGAGAGTGATTACAACATTTGTTAGAAGTAGCTAAACTAGGGCTTGATTATGGTAATAATTTAGGATTAAAAAAGCGGAATGGGTGGGTTTGATTGAGGAAAGTGATGGCGATGTGTGGGCTGGCGGGGGAAAGTCCCAAAATTTCCAATAAGTTTTGTTTTCGCGCGCGGCATATAATACACACCTTAATTAATAACAAAATAAATACGTAAATACTTATTTTATAAAAGAAATAAAATGTATGAAATAACAACTTTCTTTCATAAATTTTTCTTTTTATAACTTTGTACCTTCATTTTTTCTTATTATAACAATATATTTTCAAATTATTCATTATTAAGATATTGTATTTTGGAAAATCTATCTTTATATCAATAGGTAATCTACTACCTTTTAAACCGGTTAACACTTACTTTTTTTTTTTCGTTGGCTTAAATGAGGTGATGTAAAAGACATATCATTTTGATAACATGGCTAAAATAAAAATTAAAGAAACCCCTTTGAAGTTATTTTTAATGATTTTCACTTTTACGATTTAATTTTTTAACTTTCTCTTATTAAATTACATGCAAATTAAATATTTTAAAATAAAATATTTTTTAAATAAATATGATATATTATTTTCGAGGTAGCACTTCTTATTTTCTTTTGTTCAAAAAAATACATTGTTGTTAAAACTTTTTAAAAATGTTATAGAGATAAATTATGCTCTACGAAATTTTTAATATTATTATATTAATGAATAATTCAAAAAAAAAAGTAACTAATTAATATATTTATTTGTCAATAATTTTTTTATACAAGCCTGATATATTCGTTAACAGATAAATATTTTTTTGCTAAAGAAAACGTAATTAATTTTTTTTTAAATACATATTTTTTTAAAATGTTAGCAAGATAAATTTTGTTTTATCTAGTTAATGAATAATTTAGAAAATCTCTAATTTATTTAATACATTTATTAAATAATAAGTAAAGTCAAAAAAAAATTAAAATGGACATCCCATATGGTTATATGGATAATGGCGTGACATGGAAATCTGGTAACTTGTGTCATGTCATTTTAATTTAAATCAAAATGTTACCGATATAATTTCTACAATCTCAAATTTGGGATCCTAAATTTTAAATTAAAATTTAGGATTAGAAACGGATACTAAATTTCGATAAACATGATTGATTAAATGTAAAATGTCTAAATAACAAAATATAAATATAAAACTACAATGTTATAATAGGAACTGGTGATGTTGTAATAAAATAATTTTGAAAATACAATGTTATAGTAAGACATGCTACGTCAGCAATATATTACATGTGGACGGCCTACATGGACAATGAGATGACATAGAAATCTGGTATAGTAGATAAACTTAAGTCAAAAATTTATCTAATGCTATAATAGGTAAATTGTTCAAAATACAATGTCCTAATAAAATATAGTTTGAAAATATATTGTTGTAAAAAACTTGAAGTACAATACTATAATAAAAAAACTCGTTAAAATGTGTTGTTTTTTTTTGTGTATTTTATCCTTTATAAAATGAATTTTAGTTTATAGCCGTTTTACAAAACCCTTTCTTAAAATAGCCAAAGTTATATATATATATATATATATATATATATATATATATTAGAAGCGTACTCGCGCAATGCAGCGAGATACATCGTGATTTTAATATTTCATTTTATT